TTTTTTTTTTTCACCCTGTCACCCTTGGTAGAGTGCTGTGACATCACAGCTCACAGCAACCTCCAGCTCTTAGGCTCAGGCGATTCTCTTGCCTCAGCCTCTCAAGCAGCTGGGACCACAGGCACCCACCGCAACACTTGGCTATTTTTTGTTGAAGGGTCAGGCCCGAATCCGCACCCTCGGTACATGGGGCCAGCACCCCATTCATTGAGCCACAGGCACTGCCCATTGGCTTTTTTTTTGTAGTATCATTGTTGTTTAGCAGGCCTGGGCTAGGTTTGAACCCACTAGCCCTGGTGTTTGTGGCTATGTGGCTGGCACCCTAACCACTGAGCTGTGGCTGCCAAGCCACGTGTCTAACTTCTCTGATTCACCATAGAGTTTTTCAGATTCATCCATGTGTACATGCACCTGTAGTTCCTTCCTTTTTCTTTTCAAGTAGTCTTCACTGCATGGCTGTACCAAAGCTCCCTATCTCTCTTCTGGCCGTCCACCATCCTTTTTCTGCATGGCCCCTGCCTGACCCAGGCATCTCCTTCTTACACCCAAGTCTGCATTCCAGCCTCCTTCTTCATCTCTGACCTGCTATCTCACCCTCTCTCAACCCACCCTGAAGATGGCATCCAGAGGAATCCATGTAAGGCAATGTTGTGGTCCTGTCCTGCTCAAAACTCTGTCACAGCTTCTTAGCACTCCCTAGGAATGCCCCAGCTTCTTTAATGGCTTTTAGTCTTGGTTTAATCTCACCACTACCTCTCACCCTGCCAGCACCATCTCCCACCTCCTCTCTTTACACTCCAGGCTGTAATCACAGCCTACCTGTCAGTCCCCTCAATGTACCAAACTCTGGTTTGCCTCCGACCTGTTGTATTCTCTTCCTGCCACCTACAATGCTTTTCCCTACCCCACTCGGCACCTGCCTGATTTTTATTCATCCCTCACATTCAGCTGTCTCCTCCTCAGGAAGCCTTACTCAGTAGATAACCCTCACAGTCCCTAGTGGCTCAGGCCACTCTGCATTTTTATACATAAGTTCCCCCTAAACTTCAGTTCCAGTTACAAAACTTGTCTCTTCAGACAAACAAGAACACATCCTTTAGCAAAAATTGGAAACCTTCCCCAACGAACACATATGGCCTTAGCGGCTGGGAACTTCTGAGTGAAGTTTGTGCTGACATAGACTGTAGACATCTAGCGCCTATATGTGTGTTCATGTGGGTGTGTCACACGCAAAGTTTTTGTCCTATTTTAATGTTTATTTAACAAGTGCCAGCTTTCCTTGGGCACTGTATCTGCTCTGACCCTCTCATCACATTATCAATGAATAATTTATTTCCATGAAATCACCAGTGCTCCCTGGTTCTCTCTTCAAATCCTTCCAACATACCCTTGGGAATTCTCCTACCTGGTTAAC